CCGGCGATGTCCAGAGACGCTGCACAGACTGACCGCAAACAGGCGCATCAAGCAGGCGCAGCTGACTGAGGCTGACTGGGGGTGCAGTCTTGCCCAGGATCTGGGGCGTTCCTTGAGCTCATACGTTGTGAAAGTCGCCGTGACCTTGAACGAAGTGTTTCCGGTGCCTTGGCAAGCTTGTCAGCCCCCCTCGTGCTTGGAACTTGTGGGCATGGCTTGCCAGCTCTCAAGATGCGGGGTTCTGCGTGCTCGGAGCTGCGCGCTTGAGTGAGTGGCAGAGTGCCCACACGGCGGGTTTGCCTTCGCCAAGCAGGGGAAGCTGCTGTGAAGGCGCAACGCGCAATGGAGCAGTGGAAGATCAACACGTTCGCGCCCCTGCTGATGATGCACGGCCCCGGCTAAGGCAGACTTGGGCTGCAAGGCTTGCGCAGGATTTGCAGTGCCTTTCAGAAAGCCGGTTGTGCTGTTTCAGAAGCCTTCACATCCAAGCTTGGCAGCGGATTCAATCGCATCACGGCTTCTGAAGCCGCAGGATTTGCACAAATTTAGAGATGACTTTGTACCCTAGTGCCCAAATTCTACAATGCTGGGGCGCAGTGCCCGTCAAGCATGTTTATTTGCACGGGGGAACCTTCCATTCGCAACTCCTAAATCAGGACTGGTCACAGAAGGTGGGGCGCGAAGAGGTTCAACTCGAAAGGCCTCTCAAGCGTAGCAGAGTTGGGACATATGAGGCCCACGGCGATGTGCAGCGCGCGATCTGGGATTTGGAGAGGGCAAAGCGACTCCTCAGCCTCAGTCAAACGCTTCTTACGATGCGTTGCCAAGAGCCCCGATTGACCATAGTGTGCAGAGACTGGCTTGTGGCACGTTTGATCTTTTAACCTAGTACTTTTCCAGGCAGGCGCCAACTGATTTTTTTTGAGCGTCCCACGGGCTTGCTATTGGACGCCGAGGGGAAGGCTGAAAGAGAGTTCACCCTTTTCAATGAGTTGGGCTTCCCTTCAACGATGGCTGCGTCCACTTTGCGCGAAACAAATACCAGGCCTGGAAGACGACTTTTAGTCGTGCAGGAAGTCGCAGGTATTCTCCAAACAAGTGTGCACACTGGGGTCATGCCTCATTCTGAATTGTGACTGTGTTGCCAAGCAATGGTCACAAATTGCCGCTTTGATGTGGCATTTCGCAACAACAAGTGCCATCTCGCTGGAAGACTGTGTTTGCAACCAGAAAGCAGAGTATGTGTACCCTCCGCGAAAGCCACAGGTATGTGACTACTTGACCTGTACCGTTGTAGGGTGCCAAAGGACGCACTATGCGACATCTCCTGGTCTGGTGTCTATGCTGCTCATGGTAATGGCCAGTTTTGAGCAGGGCTCCTAAATACAACTACATATCTTTCGCCATTTCAACCATTACTTTGTGAGGCAAAATCTAAGCATCCTTCACGTGCTCTTTCTGTCCAGCCATTCAGGCCACGTCACGCAGACTAGCGGCTGTAGCAAGCTGCAACCTGCTTTGTGCCGCGGCCCTGGCGTCTTTTCGCACGCACAAGCGAAGACACGAGGGCGCAGAACCGGAACCCGTGCCGCGGCACGTCCAGGCAACCGGCTCAAGTTATGTCACAGGCTCCAGGCTTTTGGTCCGCGATTTGCGCAAGCAAGGGGATAGCTTTGGTTTTGCCCGGAATACGTATGCTTGTGGATGTGTGCCATGTGTTTGCATGCCCGAGTCAGCGGCTCTGTTCTTGCAGCTGCCAGCTCATTTATTTTGTTCTGCAGTTTTGTGTTCATTCGGACTCCGAGACTGCGCGCGAACAAGAGCTGCAAAGCCTGAGTTGTCCTTGCGGAATGTTCCCAGTCGAAAGGTGATTTAAGCCTTAGATCCATGCAGTTGACTCTTGCCGGTAGTTTTAATGCTGAGTGGATTTCGGGTGTGGTCTATCACCTGGTCCAGCCAGCGGCATGCACACACACTTCAATCCTTCCGGAGGTGCGAGTCCGGAGCACTCCTCCAACGGCGCACCGGGACTTGTCGGCTTTCGCGCACTTCTAAAGACTTTCACACAATCTGGGCATGTGCATTTAAAGTGCCCTTGCACTTGCATCCCGTCCTTCGTGCTAGGCACCTTTCTGTTTGAATGGCGTACCCTTCGAGATTTGGAAGGGGCGGTTGCGTCATGATCTGTTTGTGAGCGTTGGGGATGTCAATCCCACCTTGGAAAGGTCGTAGGGGTGGACATGCCATGCACCAGGGCAGCAGTTCAGCCGCTGCTTTCTCAGCAAGTGACCCCTAGAATCCAACCGTTTCATCATCACCCTGTCCCACTGCCCCGGCCTTGTTTGAATGCTGCAGCGATGTGCAGCGTGAATACACGAGCGCATCCGCAGCAGGCAGGTTTGAGCCAGAGGCTGCTTGTGCACGATGCAGAGATGTGCATTCAACCCAAGGATGTCCCGTTTTTTTGCGATCAGTTTGTAGTGGCTCTGAGTATAGTAGCAGCTTCAGCATGGCATGGCCCCTCCCAAAGCGCGTGTCAGCTGGGCAAGGAACTCTGCAGCTCAGCACGGCCTCCATTGCCAGCCAGCTCAGGCACTGGGCTTGGCAGTGGCCCGCGCCTCAGCCATGCCGGCGCAAGCGGAAAGTTCAGAGGTTGTGAAGTATTTCCGCTTGAGAGTTTCGCCGAGATGCTGTGCGCCGGCGCACGCTGTCGGGCAGTCTACATGTGAGGTGAGCCAACGTCGGCAGCTGCAAAGTGCTGCTAGCAAGGGCAGGTGTTGAGATGAGTTGCTTGAGAGCCAAGACCATCCTCTCTCAACCAGCACCTTCAGCACATGCCTTCAGGCTCTGCGCGCCGAACGGTCCACTTTGAGTTTCAGCCGCCGAAAGGTCTCGGCCTGACAGCCAGCAGGTGGACAGCGGCTTGACGCGCAGCTGGCTTGAGGCATTTGGGCATTCCACAGCGAGAGCCAGGCACGCAGCGCTACTTGTAGTGCTTGGCAGCCAAGTTCCAGGGGTTCTCTCTGCAAGCTCCGAGCTGCGCGTTCAAGTTGCAACTGCTGCCGGTGTCGCGGGCTTGCAGAATGACGGGCCGTAAACATCGTCCAAAGTTTAGCGCTGCGCAAAGCATTTGCTTGCGCCGTGTTTGGCTCCAGTTCCCACCAAGTGTTCTTCGCAATCCCTTTGTGCGCGGGGAAGCGCTCAGTCAGGCTGTTGAGACGAAACCTCCCTGCAGAGGCTTCGTGCGTTCGGTGCTGTTCGTGCCAGTCTTGCTGCGCTGCCAGAGCGCTGCCTGTGGACACACACGCGAGTCCTTGATTGCATTTCTACCTGTTCTGGTGTTCCTGGCATTGGCGACATATCCTCCTGCCCAAGGTTTCGTCGCCGCGCCCACTTAAAAAACAGCATCGTGACGTGGTGCCATCAGTGTCAGAGACTGCTTAGCTCGAAGATCCTGTTGAGTGCTCCGTGCAGCTGTCCGCGCTCTGACTCCAGCACTTGCTGGTCTCGTTTGTTTGCTCTGTGTGCAGCTGCCTCAACATCGGCGGCTCCTACAGCTCCTCCGTGAGTTGGCAGTCTCGCATTCGCGCACCAGGGCATGAAGTGCTTGTCTTGAAACGGGCTTCGTGGGAATTCGGTGTGGGCTATCTTGGCGTCGGGCAGCATGCTTTGCATATCCATAGTCACGGATTTTGCCTTGGGAGTTTCGTGGCCCGGAAACTTTGACTAGTGGTTGCGGTATGTTGCAGCTGGAGTCCGTGGGAAGGCCGCTATTGCAAGATCTGAGGCCACGTCAGCATAGCGTGGAAGTCGTCAAGAGGGCTTGGTGTGACTTACGGACAGCGCATTGCACATGCTGCCACCAGCAGCAGATTCGTCAATAGTTGCATGCGCGGCGTTGCCTAGTCCAGCTACTGAGTCATATCTGCGAACACTCCAAGTAGTCATGCGCTATGCTTCGGTAATGGCTGCCGAGAAGGTTGTTGCATTGCACAGCTCAATTGGAACATTGCACGCGACGATGTTGCGCAATTTCGCATAGCTATGGCATCATCCCAGCTCAGTTGGGTACCTTTTGTCACTAAGCTGCAAGGCAAATCCCAGGCTCTCCGATTTTTTCCGGCTTGCTTGTTTCAGTCACACTGCCCAATGTCAACGAGCAGCCTTGCGGCCGACAATGCGTTGGTGTCAATGTCAACTTTGTCCTTCGCCGTTTCTGGCTTTAATTTGCTCGCAAAGCAAGAGCAAGTTCTCAGTTCCCGCACAACGAGTTGAGCCGTCTTTTCAAGCAAAAGCGGACGTGAGTCACAGATGACAACAAGCTGTATGACAGAAAGCTGTATGACAGCGGCAGGTAGTCTCAGACAGCTGATGTTTGCAGCCAATTGATGAAAAGCGAACAATCATGCTTTGCACACGCACTTAATTACACTTGTGAGGACAAACGCATAGCGTTACCTGTTGCACTGGTGCGAGCGCTGGTCACCGGCGATGGACAGTTAGTCTTCCCTGTGTTTGTGACTTTTGACAAGTAACTCAGTAACTCCTGTTATCCACCTGAAGCGCATCTTTTCGGGAATCTGCATGCAGTATCCAAAAGATGCTGTGTCGATCACAAAGCAGACCGTGCTCTCTTACAGACTGGAGACTGGGCTACGTGACAACGGAGTTTGCCACCACTGCAGTGCCATCGTGATAGAAATTACGTTTCTTACTCTTCTCTGACCTGGTTGGAAGACTGCAGGCTCCTTCTCAGGAGTACTTGCGACGTTCGCTTTCCTCTCTTCAAAAGGCCTGCCGTTTGTGTCTACTTGGCAAGTTTCATGTTGGTTGCACGCTGTTTCAAAGAAACTTGGGGGCCCGCGAGCGCGAAATTGGCCGTTAGCAGTATCTGGGCACCGCTCGAGTCTCAGTAAACATCCATTTCCCTGCAAGTCCCATGCCTGCTCTTGCAGATGGGGCCATCTTGGCTTGCAGGTTGCCAGAAGGCGGGGCTTCACTGGGCTTGAAGCAGCCTTGCAGTTTGCCGGCTTTTTTGGCCTGGCAGGGAGGTTGCGCTCATTTGGAGCCATGCCGATTCCAAGTCACAGCCATCCATCTCCATGTGCGCTTGCGTTATTTGCAGTTGCAAGCTCATATCAGCCTGAGCCATGTGGTTGTTCTATGCCACTTGCGTGCGCATTTGGGAGCCCGCAGAATCACAGAGCAAAGGCCACGTTGGCTCGGTAGAAACTAGCTCGAGCGAGAAAGCATCTATTGCCCAGTATGTCCAAAGGCGGCTCTCGCAGATGGGGCCATCTTGGCTTTCAGGTTGCCAGCAGCACTGGAGCAGCGATCAAACAACCCATGAGGATTCCTCGTCACGGGGCGCCATCATGTATTCTGCAGCACGAATGGTTCAGGGCGCGGAAGCTCGTGGAAACTTCCGCTGAGAACAAAGCAATTTTTGTTGCTGTGAAATCCAAAACCCCCGCAGCTTGCAGACCCATATTGTGACAATGCGTGATTTTATTTTGGGTGACCGCTTGTAAGATTGGGTGTGAAGCAGTTTGCTGGCTTCTTTGGCCTTGTAGGGAGGTTACGCTTATTTGGAGCCATGCCGATTCCAAGTTTCACAGCCATCCATCTCTGCGCTTGCGTTATTTGCAGTTGCAAGCTCGTAGCTTGAGCCACGTGGTTGTTCCTTGCAAAGTGAGCTGCCGTTTCAGATGGGGCCATCTTGGCTTGCAAGTTGCTAGGAGGTCAGGCTTCGCTGGAGCAGCGATCAAACAGCCCATGAAGAAACCCTAGTTTCGGGGCGCCAAATTCTTGGCGCCTAAAAGTATTCTGCTGCAGGAATGGGCATGGTCCCCGGCGCGGAAGCTCGTGGAAACTTCCGAGGAGCATATTGCAAGCTTTGTTGCCGCGAAGGCCAAACCCCATGTCGCGGAAGGTTGCGGAAGCCCCTCGGCTTGCTAGACCCATATTGTGACAAAGTGTCTTTGTTTTGGTGACCTCCTAAGACTGGGCGTGAAGCAGATTGCTGGCTTTTTTGGCCTTGTAGGGAGGTTACGCTTCTTTGGAGCCATGCCGTTGTCAAGTCACAGCTGTCCATCTCCGTGTTCGCTTGCTTGATCTGTAGTTGCTCGCTCATATCTGCCTGAGCGATGTGGTTGCTCCTTGCAACGTGCGCGCGCATTTGGGATTCCGCAGAAGCACAGAGCTGGGGCCACGTTGGCTCATTAGAAATTAGCTCGAGCGTGAGCAAGCATCCATTTCCGGGCAAATGCAATGGCTGCTCTCATCTTGACTTGCAAGTTGTCAGGAGGTTGCGCTTATTTGGAGCCATGTCGGTTCCAAGTCCCAGCTGTCCATCTCCGTGTGCGCTTGCTTGATCTGCAGTTACACGTTCATGTCAGACTGAGACATGTGGTCGTTCCCTGCAACGTGATTGCGGATTTGGGAGCTCGCAGAATCACCGCTGGGGCCACGTCGGCTCGATAGAAACAAGCTTGAGTATCCGTCTATTTTCCAGTAAGTTCAACGACTTCTTTTGCAGATGCGGCCATTTTGGCTTGCAGCTTGCCAGACTGCGGGGCTTCGCTGGGCTTGAAGCAGCCTTGCACTTTGTTGGGTTCTTTGGCCTTGCAGAGCGGTTCCGCATATTTGGAGCCACACCGATTCAGCTGTGCGTCGCTTTGCAATGCCAAGCTCGCGCTGGCCTGAGACATTTGGCCTCACATGCTATCAGCTGTCGTCGCAAGCGCAACTTGAGTAGTTGTTGCTGATTCAACCAGCGGCTGTCAAGAGCAACGAGCTGGCCGCTGACACCCCCCTTGCAGCTGCGGCGCGAGCGAAGCGGTGGATATTCTCCGGTTCTATCCGGTGGACGAGTCCAATAGCAGCCACGGCTTTGCTCGCCTTCGCACATGAATGCTTGAGTGCATGAGCGCCACAGTAGTTGAGCACCAGCTTCAAAAGCAAGTTTCGCGAGGGTTTCAGCTGTGAGCAGCCACTTTGCAGACGATGCGCCTGCTTGAGCCCTGCCTGCGCCAAATGCTCAGGTATGGCAATTTAGTGTGCTGGCAGAAGAATTGCCCCGACGCTTCACACGCCAATCCTCAGTCGACTATTCAGAGCTCTTAGGTGCTATAGAACTTGGCCAGTGCTTGCACGCAAGAAGGCCTCTACTTCTGCTTGCAGTGCTAGCATGTCTGTTCCGGCGCCCACTTGCGCCAGCTCGCCAATGATAGGGCTTAAGAAAGGCATAAGAGGAAGAAGTGGGATAAAGTGAAACATGACGGAGATGCCTGTCAGGCGAGACTTCAAATCCGAACCCCTTGTCCTTCACACGAGCCCAACTCATTGGACGCTGCCCTGACCTTCGGTGGCTTCCCAGCCCACCCCATGCAACACTATTCCGCAGGGTCCATTCTGCGCTGTCCGAATCCTACCCAGGTTGCCCAAATTTCGGGTCCCTGAAAAACAAAGGACCTGAGAAGAAGCGATGGCAATCTAGTTGCTGCTTCAACATAGAGCCCAGTCCCATGCATTTGCTGGCCAGGGTTTGCTTTTTTCGCATTGGTCCCCCAGCTGCCGATGATGAGTTTGATGAGTCTACTGAATTGAGTGCTTCGGAGCTGTAGCGGCAGACAGTGTTGCTTGGCAAGGTCACTGGGACATTGCGCCATTTTGAGAACAACGCTGGAGCGCAAGTCCCGGCGAAAACGCCCGCGCAATTGTTGCACATGCTTTAGAGCAGACGAGAGGCAACCCAGAGACGTTTGTTACGTTTGACGCTGGTCGAGCTACCAGCAGCAGACAGAGCAGACAACCGTAAGGCTGAGGACAGAGTTTCACCCACAGACATTCCAAAGGCCAATGCGGCTCTTGTGCTGGTGGCACACAAGCTCATGCCCGAGAGCTTGGAGGCTTTTCGGAAGGACGGGCGCAAGCTGACGGTGTTCTTGTTGTACTGACAATGCCATGTCATCACGTTTGGCAGAGCCACAGCCACAAAAGTTGTTTCACCAGGACTGACCAAGACAGGCCGTGCGCACATCGAGTTTCGGCCAACGCTAGAAAGGTCGCGGCCTGACAGGGACAGCAACGCTCGATTGAACTTGCAGCTGGCTTGAGACATTTGGGCATTCCACACAAGCGAATGCCAATCGCACAGCGCTGCTTGCGCAGCGCTACTTGTAACGCTTTGCAGCCAGGTTCCAGGAGCCTCATGTCTATGCGTTTTGTGAGCTCCGCAAGCTTCGAGCCTCTCGTTCAAGTTGCAACTGCTGCAAATGCCAGGGGTTTGCAGAGTGACGGGCCGTAAACTTCGTCGTAAATCGAACACTGCGTTACGCGTTGGCCCTGCGTGTATTTGGCTCACTTTCCGACGAGGTCATCTTCGCAATCCCCCAGCAGCGCGCGGGGACTCAACTGGCTGTTGAGATGGAACCTCAAAACCCGCAGAGGCGTTGTGTGTTCGGTCATGCCGGTCGTTCGGGTCTTGCTTCCATGCCGCCAAAGTGCTGCCTTTGGCGACACATGCATGACCTTGAATGCATTTCTGCCTGTCCTGGTGTTCCTGCCATTAGACGCATCATGATGTGGCGCCATCAGTGTAGCCTGCTCAGCTCGATGCCGCGCTTGGCTTGCCAAGAGGCCTGCAGCCTGGTTGCGTTTGTTGGCCCTGTGTGCAGCTGCCTCGACGTCAGCTGGTCCTGCCAAAGCTCCTCCCTGAGTTGGCGGTCTTTTTCGTTTCGCACAGAGCATGAAGCGCTTGTCCTGAAAAGTGCCTCCTGGGACTTAGGTGTGGGCTATCTTGGCCTTCGCGGGAAGCATGCTTTGCATATCCGCGGATTTTGATGTTTGGAGTTGCTTCTGCCCATTTTTCGCTGGCACTGGTTGCAGCTTCACCTTGGGGAGGAGGCCGTTGCAAGATCCGTTGAGGCTGAGGCGCGCTCGCGACGTACTGACAGCGCATTTCCACACATCCAGAATCATACTGCCAGCAGCGGGAGATTCGTCAATCGTTGCAAGCACGGCGTTGCCAAGTCCAGATACTGAGTCATATTTGCAAACAATCCCAGTAGTCATGCGCTATGCTTTAGTAGTGTTGCATTGCACGGCTCGAGTGGAGACTTTGCACTCGAGAGATGTTGCGCAACTTGGCATATCTTTGGCATCTAAGCTCAGTTGGTTGCCTTTTGCCACTGGCAAACTGCACGGCAAAGCATGAATGCGCTAAGTTTTGCGGCTTGCTTAATGTCAACTTGCAGCTTTGCAGCCGAGAATGCTTTGGTGTCAGTGGCTTTATCCTTTGCCGTTTCTAACTTTGATTTGCACGCAAGAGCAATTTCTCAGTTCCCGGGCAACGAGTTGGGATGAGCCGCCAAGTTTTGCTCACGCGGTCGACTCAAGCAGCAAGGGCGACGTGAGTCACAGATCACAACAGGCTGTATGACAGCAGGTAGTGTCAGACAGCTTTGTACAGCCAGATGGTGAAAAGCGAGCAAACATGCTTTTGTCTTGCACCCGTACTTAGAACAAACGTGGCGCTGGTCACCAGCGACGGGGAGTTAGTCTCGCCTTTGTTTGTGACCTTGACAAGTTGCTATCAACCTGAAGCGCAGCTTTTGGGGAACCGACATGGAGGAGCCAAAGGATGATGCATTTTCCTCCCCTGTACAAGGTAAGGCATACTCCGGATGGACAATGTGGCCTTGATGGTTGCAACAGCTAGTAGCAATTCACGCAAGCGCCAAGGCGGCTTGCCGGCCTAGAAAACAGCAGCAACTTGTGAAGAATGAGCAGGGAGCTGGCGCTTCGGAATGAAGTTGAGGTCGGCCGAGTAAGCGGGCATGGGCATGGCTCGTGGAAGGAATGAGCCCATTTGCCACAACCGGAGGCTTTTGCATTGAAGTGGTGCCTTGCTTTCACTATGGGTTTGCCGTTGCGTGTCGCGTGGCTACGGTTCCACCTGTGTTGTTCGTTGCATTCTCTGGCCCCTGGCTTTCGCAGTTCTCAATTTGGCTTCGGCCCTCAGGGCTCCTTTGTTGGACCATTGCTCAGCTGCACTGCAGACTCCTCGGACTCTTGACGTTCCCTGGCACTTTCCTCTCCTTAAAAGGCCTGGCGTTGGTGCGCCACGAGTCTACTTGGCAAATTTCATGCCAGGGGCACACTGTTTCGGAGGAAATTGGGGGCGCGCGGGGCTTGGTCAAGCGCGCAGCTCGAGTCTCAGTATGCATCCATTTCCCAGCAAGTCCAATGGCTGCTCTTGCAGAAGGGGCCATTGCAGTTTGCTGGCTCCTTTGGCCTTGCAGCGAGTTTGCCCTCATTTGGAGCCATGCCGATTCCAAGTCACAACCGTGCATCCCGTGTACTTTTGTGTCGATTGCAGTTGCAAGCTGATATTAGCCTGAGCCATGTGGTTGTTCCTTGCCACGTGCGCATTTGGCAACCCGCAGAATCACAGAGCTGGGGCCATGTTGGCTCGATACAAACTAGCTCAAGCGTCAGCAGGCATCCATTTTCCAGCAAGTCCACCGGCTGCTCTTGCAGAGGCCGTCTTGGCTTGCAGGTTGCCAGGAGGCGGGTGTAAAGATTCCTGGCTTCTTTGGTGCCCAGCGCTTCCAGGTGCTCGTTTAACTCAAAGTGCCCGTTTAACCAGCATTTTGTCAAGAGGCTGGATTTCAACAAAGTGAAAGGTGCGTGAGAAACCCGTGAAAGACCGTGAACACCTCGTGAAAACAGCGTAAAAAGACACCCTTCATTTACTCATGCTAGGGCTCCCAGCAAAGATAGCACCTTTATCAAACGTGCTCGTTTAACTTGTCCTTTGGACTCATTGCGGGCAGGTCCATGCCGATTCGAGGTCACCCGTCCATCCGTGCTCGCTTGAGTTATTTGCAGTTGCAAGCTCATACCATCAGCGAGCCGTGCGGTTGTTCCTTGCCAGGCTCGCGCGCGCGGACTTAGGAGCCCGCAGAATTACAGAGCTGCCATACAAACTAGTTCGAGCGTCAGTGAGCGCCCAGTTCCCAGTGCGTCCAATGGCTAGTTTTGCAGATGGGGTTATCTTGGCTTGCAGGTTGCCAAGAGGCAGGCTTAAGTGGGCTTGAAGCAGCCTTGCAGTGTGCAGGCTTCTTTGGCCTTGGAGGGAGGTTGCGCTTATTTGGAGCTATGACAGTTGCAAGTCACAGCGGTCCATCTCCCTTGCTTTGCAATGGCAAGCTTGAGCGAGCCGTCGCAGATGCAGCTATCAGCTGTTGTCGCAAACGCGGCTTGAGTTGTTGTTGCTGATTCAACCAGTGGCTGTCAAAAGCAACGATTTGGTTGCTGACACTCCGCTTGCAGCTGCGGCGCGAGCGAAGCAGCGGAAATTCTTTGGATCTATAGTGGACGAGTCCAATAGCGGCCCCGGCTTTCCTTGCCTTTGCACGTGAATGCTTGAGCGCATGAGCGCCACAGTAGCTGAGCGCCACCTTCAAAAGCAAGTGCCGCAAAGCTTTCGGCTTTGAGCAGCCATTTTGCAGATGATGCGCCTTCTTGAGCCCTGCCTTGCCTGCGCAGCAAATGATCATCTATTGGAATCTAATCTGCTGGCAGACGAATTGCCCCGACGCCTTGACAATTCGGGGGGGCTCTTGGGTGCTAAAGAACTTAGCCAGGGCTTGTTCACAAACAAGCCTCTACTTCCGGCAACGCTGGGTCCATGTTTTGCTTGGCTTGGCTTGCGGAGCTTGTCTGTCTGCTCCGGCGCCCACTTGCGCCAGCTCGCCAACACATAGGAAGGGGGAGAAGAGGGCTTTGGTTGTGAAGCATGTCGGAGATGCGTGTCAAGCAAGACGGTCGAGAAATCAAATCCGAAGCCCTCGTCCTTCACATGAGCCTGACTCATTGGACGCTGCCCTGACTTTCGGTTGCTTGCCAGCCGCATGCAAGAGTATTCCGCATCCGTTGCCCAGGTTTCGGGCCCAAAACAAAGCATTTGAGAAGAATCAACATGGGGGCAAGTCCCATGCATATGCTGGCCAGGGTTTGTTTTTCTGCAGCCCCCATGCTGCCAGTGACAGTCTAGTATATATGTGTCTGCTGAGTTGAGTGATTGTGGAGCTATGGACTTCAGTGTCCCGGTAGACAGTGTTGCTTGGCAAGGTCGCTGGGACATTGCGCCGTTTTGAGAACAACGCTGGGGCGTACGTCGCGTCGGAATTGTTCGCGCAAGTGTCGCACCGGACACAGAGACTGGTTGCTACGTGCTAAAACGTTTCAGAACACTTCTTTGACCCATAGCCGAGGCACCAACAGCAGACAGAGCAGACAACCGCAAGGCTGAGCTTGCTGGGGCGCGAGCGACGCCAGAAGCATGTTGAACACGCTGCAGGACACATTTGTGTTTGAATCTCTTGCGGAAAAGACTGATGCTGGTGGAGCTTTCGCAACAGCCAAGATGTGATGACTTGCGTTTGCGTGGCATGCCAGCAGCATCCAAGATGCGCAGCCGTAAGTGCCGCATCCCAAGTGCTGCGCTTGCCAAACATGTAGTTAGGACGCATTGTCAGCGGGTGCTCAGCCGTAAGTGCCGCATCCCAAGTGCTGCGCTCGCCACACGTGTAGTTGTGCTTCGGCACAGGCTGCGTTTGCCTGCGAGCTATAGGAAAGCCCTCGCGCAAGCAAAGATCTTGCGCTCGAGTGACAGTGACGGCAGCTTCCAGAGAAAGAACGCGCAGTGCAATCGGCATTTCGCTTTGTTTCGAGTTACGTATTTCGTTTGCCGCATGTGGCTTGGCCATGGAGAGTAACTCTGGTACTAGACAATGAGTCTTAGGACGGGAGTTCCCTAGGCGCCCAACGCACACACCAACATCGGTGTTACAACCCAGCTTTTGGAGGTGGCAGAGCAGTCGGCGCACTGAAATGCTTCTGAAGCACAAGGAGAAAACACATATACACAATAGAAAGGGCTAAAAACAGAACACAGGGGAGAGAAGCCTCAAACAAACAGAACTGCACACCAAACAGCTATATACCCTGATTATCCCGAAAGCGTTTATCAAAAAAAAGAGCCCAACCCTGCCCCCAAGCAGAGCTGCGCAGCAAGGAGGCGCGCTGCGCAGCACGGCTATGTTGAGATGGGCTTCGGCGCAAAACTAAGTTGAGATGCGCTGTGCAGCAAGGCTATGGTGAAATGCGCGGGGAAGCAGGGCTATGTTGTGCTTGGCAGCAAGGCTGTGGAGACGTGCTGTGAAGCACGACGCTAAGATGCGCTGCGCAGCATAATTACGAGGAGATGTGCAGCGCAGCAAGGTCACGTTGAGATAGGCTATGTTGACATTTTTTTTCCGCGGCAAGGCTATGCTGACACGCGGCGCAAAGCGGAAGGCCTAAGCGGAAGGCCTGTGCGCTGAACGAAGCTCTGGAGCCCTTCCAAAGCCAAACTTTGTCTCCGGGCGCCATTGACATTTTGACATGTGCTTGAAAATGATCTTTGTTGGCACAGGCCTTGCGCCCTGCATTTTCATGGCGAGCATGGCCAGCACAGCTGGTTTGTTCGCAACATATCACACAGTGCAGTGTGGTTTGCGCAAGTTACGGAATACCAAACATAAGATGAAGCCGTGTTCTGGCAATACTACTGACATTGGGCACGAACCGGCTTCAAAGTTATGCGAGCCCCGTGCTTGATGCTTGAGACATGGCCGAGACACTCTTGACCACCCTGCTTCGACGCCATGCTAACAAAGTGAGGTTAAGAAAACATGCACACATTATTGCGAGAAGATTGCGATTGCGTGCAGTATTGAGTACGGGCTGAGGCACTAGGCACCTAGCCTCGACCACACAAACAAAGGATGTTCATAGAAAGGCCTTTGTTTTACAGGTTTCCCCCATTTAACAATTTGGTGTTTCACCCGAGGGTTGCCCCTAGAGAGCTATCCCAGACCGAGTTATTTGCAGCCGCGCGATTTTAAGCTGAGTCAATATCCCAAGGGCGCATTCCCCGAAGCTTCTACCTCCTGACACCAACCGCGAAACCACGAAGCCGCCGGAGTTGCCTGAGGCACGACCGCGGAACTTCGCGCTTCGCCGCATTCCGATGCCCCGCAGCAGCCACACGTAAAAAGGTTGATATTTCTTGTCCGGGGCGAACCTATGGTACTATGGTACCCGTTTTGCAAGTGGTTGGAAGCCGGTATGCTCACCCACTGGATCCATTTACCTTTCTAGTAACCGAGGGAACCACCCTTTGTAAAGCAACAGGAGAATAGCTGGTTACCTACTATAAGGGTAACTGCGATCCATTCGCGACTAGAAGTCATGGTGTGACACAGTGGCAGGGCAAGCGGAGAGTTTAGCCATTTGGTTGCGAAGCGGACAGCGAGAAAAAGGATTTGCGGGGGCGCCCTCTTCATGGTTCACTCGCTGGGGGGTTGATCAAAAGGTCCGATAAACACGGGGTGACCATTAGGGAAACACAAAAAATATTTGACTTTCTCCACATGCATGGGAACATGTTCACGATGTTGGGGCCATTCATCCCAGGATTCACAACTTCACAACCGCCGGTTTAGGCGGTGCTAATCCGCCAGCTGCTGAAAATGCGGGGTCCGTGATCTAGGACGAAATCCCGCGCCTCCGAAACAACCATGTAATGATGAGTCCCCTGCAAATCCAAACAACAGTTACAATTGGGTTTCCTCTGGTTTGAAAGTGGTGCGAAGTGGATTGCATCCATGCAAGAATGTTTAAAAAAGAAAATTCCCTGTTGGTTTTAAAGGAAATCTATGACTACTGGAAACATGTTTTTTTCTTCCAGGGGGCCTTTGCAAATGGAAGTATCTCATGCAAACAAACCGTTTCGAGGTTTTGGCCAATCTCGTTCTTTGTGAGCCATGGAAATTGGAGGATTCTCGGGTTCCAATGGGACAAAACCGATTCGGGTAGATGAAGGTTAGTAAGGGACAATCCCAACCATAAATAGCTGCGGATATCCGCCTTCTCAATTCTTTACATGGT